ACCTGAATATAGGCCCGAATAAACTCAGTGGAAGTGTATATGTAAGGTTAAGATTAAGACACATTTATTGTGTTTGTGGGAGAAGACCTTGTCTCCTGGGTTTCTTTCCAGGTCTGAAATATATATCTTTGGGAAATTGTGTTCAGTCCTTTTTTCTGTTTTTTAGAAAACAGACCTATTTTATTAGGCCTTTCTGGTCTGAAGGGTTTTTTAAATTAAGTATTAATTGTTTGTTTCTTGTTGTCAGTTACCTTCAACACCCCCTGGGAAGGAAGGATGAAAACAAATGAAATTAATAATAATAAGGAAGAAAAAGAGGAGGAGAAAGATAATAAAAAACAAAATCAGGATCAGAAGAAAAGTATTATGTTTTTAGATATTTTTTAAATGACATGAAAAAGGAACATCCCAAATGTGGAATAGAGTTTTCTTTGTGTTTTTCCCATTCAATTTTTGCCATTATTGTGCAATGCCTACAAAAAAGAAGGCCCTTTGTTTTCTTTGGTTGTTTACATGTTCAGTTCTTTGTCAGGCATAAAGAAACTGTACGATCATTGTAACATTAATCTGCGTATGAAAGACAGCCATTACAGACCACAAACAAATCTTTCATAGCAATACTATATAATAAAGTTAAGTCTCACAATTTAGTGTCAAGATATTTGTCAAATGGAACTCCTGGAATACAATCCATGCTTCTGACTATGTTTATTAAAAATCAGATCATGTGCGAGCAAACCTGATATTTCCTTTGTAATGAAACATAGAAAATATTGCTGGACTAGTTAAATCAGTCCCAGAATCCTTGAGAATAGCTATTTCAAACATCAGAAGATTTCATGATAAAATCTTCTTGCACCTTTTATTGGAAAATATGAGAAGAAGGCAGTTTTTTCATGCTACAGAGACTTCTTTTCAATGATGCAAATTACCATATTTAAGAATAACCTCAGTACAATTAAAGATAAAATAACTAACTAGACATTCTCTGTTCTTGCAATTTAAGGAAACTCATGTAAGTTCATTCTATGAAGGTCTGTAATTAATCCAAATTAAGCTTGGCTGTTTTTCTCCTTCACCTATCAATGTTGAAACAAGTCATCAAATAGAATCAGAACTGAATGGTGATTGAATAAAAGAAAACTGTGTAATCCATAACACAAACATCCTTTAATCAACAAAATGTAAACTTACAATTTGTGCATACATGCATACAAAAATCCATGTAAGTATATGTATACCATATATACTGACAAAATTTTCAAAATTTGTGCTTACATGTATTTAAAATTTTCATTCCAAGCAATATTTTACAGAGTTTACTGCACAATCTGTGTAACTTTGTATCTATTGCTGAATTAATTTTCCAACAAATAGAAATATTCTGGCCCTTCAAAAAGGAAGAACAAGGAAAAATAATATTTTTCAACTGTATTATGTAAATTGTATATGTTTGATTTGCAATGATAATCAGAAAATATCAAGCACATAATTCCAAAGGTGCGTTAATGTATGCCTGGGAAACAATTTCAAAAGGTTAAACAGCCAAGTCCACTTGCTAAGGGAATAAAATATTTGGATTAAAATATCTCAAACTTTCTAAAAATGGCTGATAGGATTTTAAGTCTCTGTATATACAGCCCAGCAATTGCATACAGATCCATCTGGACATACAAAGAAGATTATTTATCTGGACAGATAATCTTTGGCTACATCACTGCATTAATGTTTGAAGGGCTAAGGTTCACTTAAGAAAACGTGATCATCTTTGACAGGATTTTTCATAAACAATATGTGGCCCTTCTTTTTGTGTTGATTGTAAAACAAAATGTTGGCAAATCTTTGCATTCCTCACTAGAATAGGTTTGATTATCTCAAATTGGTTTTGCGCTTAGCAGAAAGATCTGCTTAATTGAAGATAATTGTTCCAAATATCAAGTATCTTTACCTATGATTAAAACATAAAAATATGTGAAATCCACATCAGTTGCCCATGTGTGAATCTGTTTTAAATTCAGTCTTATAAAATCTAACAAAATCAATGAAGTGATTTTATTTGCATAGTCTCTAATAAAACAATGCATAAATTCTTTTTAAATATAATAAATCAAGTTTAATCATGTTTTAATGTTAAGATTATACTCGTTGCTTCCTAACAACTTTATTTCACCTTTACTTATGTCATATCATTTTTTAACACTATTATTAAAATTAGGTTTATTTATCACACTTTGAAACCGCCCATCTTTCTCACTGAAGAACATTAATTAATGCCATTTGAAAGGGTTTTTTTTCAATTGATAACTTATGTAAGGAACTGAAAAAAGTTAATCTTACAGCCTGTTTAAATAGGAAATGTTTGTCAAGGAACTTCATTTTAAGAAGGAAACCATAGCAATTAATTAAAGCTTTCACATCAATTGCAGGAGAATATACTATACCATAATTATGGATTTTTTTTCAATACATAACTAATGAAGAATATTAAAAGAAAGGAATTAAAATTACAGTGTGAAGAACATACAGAAGATCTGGAAAAAATCCTATGTTATAATAACTCTAAAGGACCATTTGAAATTATGGGGATGTCTTTTTGAACTGAAGCAAAGAATAATGAATGATATATTCATTGTGATGCTATGACAATGGATTGTGCTTTGCCTTTCTTCCCATAGGACAGTCATGGCAGATAACAATTTGATTTTTTTCAAAAAATGAATTTTAAAATCAGATAACATTATTAGTACTACCACTTAATATTTGACTGAAGAAAATGATCTTACCAGATCTCCAAGAGATTATGTTCTCCGCCATGCTTTCTTCCTTTCCCTAGCCAGTTTGGTCTAGTGGTTTCAACTATCGGTCTAGAAACCAGGCTGGTGAGAGTTCTAGTCCCACCTTAGGCATGAAAACCAGCTGAGTGATCTTGGGCCACTCCCTCTCTTTCAGCCCAACCCACCTCACAGGGTTGTTGTGGGGAAAATAGGAGGAGGAAGAAGTATAAGGTAAGTTTGCCGCCTTGAGATATTTATAAAAATAATAAAAACAGGATAAAAAAATGTAACCTCCACATATTTCTCAAGGGTATAGTGTGCCATTCAAGTGCATTAATCAACAATATAGAGTTTCTAGTGTTAATGATTTACACCAAACTCATAGCATATATCTACAGCATAATGGATCAAAAGTCCAAGAAACAAGTTTAATAACCATGAGCTCCAAGAATGGAAAAATAAGAACAAATAAACTTGGAATGGTAAGACCTAAATAGGCAACTACCCATATTTTTTAAGAATACAAGAGCAGTCATGGTGCATTAAAGAAAATCTATTAATTGACAGAAAAATTTTCCCTGTTCTGAGGTTGGCAAGAAAATAGAGCAATGGGGAAAATGTAATTACAAATTGCTGAATAAATACATAAATGTCCTAAAAAGCAATGTGAGTGATAAGCCAATTCATATATCTAATTTATGTACTTGATGAATATACATTGTTACATAACATCTTTGCCCTTTGTTTTGCTCCCTTAAATTCATCCCTGGAGGCTTTTGCAAATAGTCAGCTATTAGCAAACAATGAGGTGGATCAAATGAAGAGATATTAGTCAACCATAAAACCGTTCCATTAAGGTGTTCTTTGAAATAAACCACACACGAATCTTACCACGAATCCTAGCACATTTTAAGAAGTGTTTTTTGCAGCCACATACTATTCTGCTTTAGCTAATATTTGCCATAAAACCATCCTCCACTTTCTATTTCTGGCTTAGTATAATTTCAAATTAGTTTGGTAGTGTTTCTGAGTTTACTTTACTACTGAGAAGTGACAACTTTCTTGGCTCCTCTGTTTCCTACTCTAAAAAAGCCCCATAGGAGGAGCTCCACTTTATGTTTTGCCTTTAAGTTTTCATTGAAATGTAGGATGGCTACAGATTGCTGAAGAGCAGGGTGGATAATGAAAGACACAAATCTTTGGCTACTCTGTAAGGTAAAATACATGAATCCCACACTCTATCTAAGAATTTAACTCCTAACTTCTTCTTCTTCTTGTGGGTCTTTTTTTTGGGGGGGGGTAGAAGAGAATCAAAAGCTATTTCCTTTCATAAAAATGAGAAGAGTTATAACAGTGGAGAAAAAATGTTGAACTAGGATTAACTTTGGTATTTGTATTTGTAGCACAATAACCCAAATGAAATCCTATGTGAAAACCACCTATTACTGTATACCTGGTCATTAGGCTTTTCTGCTAACACCAAGTAACTACAATTTTGAAAATTCAATTTTTTTGATAGCAGATTGCTCAACTCCTATATTCTCCAATTTTGCTTTGCCTCAAAGTTGCCTTGTGTACATCCTACTTCCTTTTTTCATTTATTTATCTTTTGCCAATTAAAAAAAAACATTGATAGTGGAAGCTGTCTTTAAGAATACAAAGCTGGCTGTAAATTTGGGTCAGAGACTGCACACGTTCTCAGAATATGTTAGGAACGACATCCTGAATCACTGACAAAAACATTCACATAGACTATAAATAACAATTAATTAAATATTTTTACTATTTATTATTCCCCATGTCCTCTTAAAAACTGCACTGGATAACTATTTTTGAAGGTCCTCTGATTACACACCACTAGAACATTTAGATAGAATTCCATTTCCAGTTGTTGTTGTTGTTGGTTGTTGTTATTATTGTTATTGTTATTGTTTTACTAAATTATTCCTCTATTTTCCCATTCTGGAAAACCTATTCTTTGTCATAATGAAAATATCTACAAAATTAAATAAATGGGAAAAAGAGGAGGAGACACAGATGGACATTGGCTTTTCAATCAATCTATTTGTTATTGCAATTCAGGGAGAGTTCTTTTTATATATTTTTATATTGCGGCCACGGACTGACATCTCCTCCTCTATCTATTGGCTAAAGGAAGGAGAAATATACTACTGAAAATATTTTCTTTTTTAAAAAAAGGAAAGGATTTAAAAGTGCTATACTTACAACTCTCCGCCTGGTAGTCTGGTACAAACTGCTCATCATTGTCAGGTACCTGAGCTGAAGGTAAGGTATGGGAAAAAATGAAAAGAAATAATTTATTAGAAACATTAATTAGGAAAAGAAGCTACTAAATGGAAAAGAGCTAATTCTAACTCTTAGGACTAGCCAAATCAAGAAGAGAATGCACTTTACATAAAACAAAAAAATTAAATGATTATGGGAATCAACAGCAAATGGGAATCAACAGCAAATGAAGATGCACTGGGAAATTCTGCACTTGAGGTTGCATTAATCAGCACTGAACACGAGCATCCCATATATTGGGCATACTTCACAAGAGCCAAGCATTTACTTCAATAAGTAAGGTGATGTATTAGTCACTAAATACCTTTATGCTAAAACTAGGTAGAGAACAGTTAACCCACCTTAGATTTATGGTTTTATCTTGCCAGCATTTAGGAGGTAGAATTGCATTTATGTAGCAATAAATTAAACTAATATCATTAAGGCAAGCAACCAAGGGGTCAAATAGAATGCAGGCTGAATCCCATCGAAGCTTTTGAGGCTTCTACCTTTGTACTCCTATAATATTTAAGAGGAAAAATAGCAAGGAGGAAAATAGGATAGACAAAAGAAGATACATTTCCCCTTCAATTTTATTAAATTCTAGAACACAGCTAAATCAGTGATATAAAACATTTCACGCTCCTGACTTCAAAGTAATTCCCTTTTAAAAAACACACACATTTGGAAATACGTTTCCACACCTTTAAGAGAGTTTTGTTGTTAAACATTTACAATTTGAAACGGGATTATAAAGGCTTCTTGATTTGATAGAAGGATTCATCACTCATTCATTTATATAGTAAATTATCATCCACAAGGCAGAATATAATTACATAATATATTCACATAAGTCCCCAAATTCTTGGATATAATTAAAAGCTTATCTTTGTGCATACTTGACGAGAATTAAGTCATATTAAGTCCTGGGAAACTTACTTCCAGCTAATGATCCTAGACATAGCAAGAGAATCCACTGTAAAGATCCTTCTCTAGAAATCATTCTTTTAAATTTTATTAATTCAACTAGAATTCACTTCAAGAATTAATAATCAACCAAAACGTTTCACTGATATGGATTTATTACCTGAATGAAAGCATTACCAGGACATCTGAATAAAATGTGTGCATACATTTATAAATTAGCTTATAGCAACTAAGTTTATAAACTAAGTTAGCTATAAGCTAACAGCATGTACTAGTGTATATTAGTAAATAAATATTTTTTAAAACAAAATATTAGCTACAATACCATATAATATTTCTTTTTTGATAGTTTCCTATTTCTTTTCTCTATTTAAAGCTTACTGGACAATGGTAGCATTTAAGCAGGCTATCTAGTTTAAAATCACTATAGAGAAGTTAATGTAAAATTACCCACATAAGGCAAAAGAGGGTGACTGAAGTATTTCTGAAGTTGTGATCCAAAGAGCTTTAACTTAAGTGAAGAACTAGGACTAAACTGATTTTCTTTGAACTTACTACAACCTAAAGCCTCCCTCCTTTACTTCCAGGATCAATTTGCCTTGTAGGACAAAATGTTGTTTGGAAACAAGATTTGCCTAAAAGCATCTTGGCTAATAAAAAGTGTTGGTATTGTTGATTGGATTTAGGCCCAAATTTTCAGATCACATCAGAACCACAAATGCTTACTAATAATTCTGTTAATTGGACAGCATTAATAGTACTCAGCTCAAAATGTATTGACATATAGGCAACATCAACTATGTAACCATTGTGAATTATTCTATTTCCATACGCCAAAGGAACTGCTAATGTTTGCTCTTTTCATGGTGCAAGAAAAATATCCTAGAGTAACTATTACCCCTAATTGTGGAAAGATGATTTCCACAATCTGTGCTAGCAGTTTATAACAACCAATGTAATTACAATATGAACGGATAATAAGCTAAAAATACACTGTAGATTTCTCTTATTTATTTTCCATTATTCACATATTGTAATTCACATTTCTCCTTTTAAAATCTACTGGAATAGCAGGTACAATTAACTATTATTCCTTTACTATAATAAACTTCAATGCTCTTAATATCCTCTAAGGAATTTGTCTTTCAGGAACTCAGCATATCTTTCTGCCTTCACAGGAACTCTTTGGGTTAGATTTTGTGTGATTTTATCACATTAAAAGCTAGATTTTTCATATTAACCTGCAACATTTAACTCTTGTTCTCACTAATTCATAAGCCAAAAAAGAAAATTAAAACTTACCGCAGCATTCTACAAGTTGTTGATTCGGATAAAAAATAAAGGTTTTTCTCTGCCCTGCATTTTTAGCAACACAAAAATAAAGTTCCTAGACTAGTTGCTAGAATGTGTAAACATGTTTAAACAGTTGAAGAGAATTATTCTGAATGATTAAATCTAACTTTTAGAACAGCACTGTAACTTGCTGAAATAAAGGCACTTTAAAATACAGATAAAAACAAAAAAGCCACACTAATGGGTAGAAAAGTTTTAAAGCACACACCCTTCAGCAAATATAATTCCAATTTATCTGCATTTTTTATAACTTGAGCTAGTACCATATTTCCAAATTGACCAATAGCATATTTATTGTTGTTCTTATAAATAAGAAATGACAAAGTTCAAACTTTTGCTTCCAAGATACAAACACCAAATTAACAGACCACGTGTTTAACAGCTGTATGTTCTTTGTTGTTCGTAATAGTGTCAGCTGTAACTGGTTTCCACAGAAATTTACCAGTAAAGAAGAAAACTAGTATATTCTGTTTTATAAAATGAAAACAAAGGTATAGCATATTTTAAATATAGAATTACATCTTAAGTCTTGTATATAGCAATTTATGAAATCCTGTCCAGTTTCAAATTGACATATTTGTTTTTTTCTGAAGTAAACAATCTATCCTGAACAAGCACTCAATGGCTACAATTAAGTAGAAATAAAATATCCTTTAGTATTAGAAACACAAAAAAATAGAAGAAATATAACTACTAAAATTTCAAGGTACAAAACCCAATAAGCTTCATTTAGATAGTATCAGCCCATCATGATTTCTCTATTCTTCAAATAAAACCAAGAGTAGTAGTTGATTAATGGTAAACATGTCAGGTGCCTCACAATACCACCCTGCAAAGAAATTTAGGTTTCCACACTAAAGTTAGAACAGCAGGTATAACTATACCTTAAATGCCCCAAACAAACTAACTCTTGTTTGGGGGATTTAAATATACCTTAAATCTTCCAAACAAAAGTGTAGTGCTGCAAGTAGTTTTAGATACCAATAATTTCCTTTTTCTTGTCACTGCTGCAATTCAGTGAGTCTTTCGTAAAAGGAATAGTAGTTTTTAATATGGTGACAGACCAGGAGGTGGGATATATCAATATAAATGACTGTTGAATTTGGATTTGGGGGGAGGGACAGAATATTAAATATCTACAAAGATCCCCTTTGTAGTAACATTCCAATGGACTACTTAAGATTAGGAAAAAGTTAAATAGAAGAAGCATTTTAAGGGGTAAGAACAGGGGATTATATAATAATCCTAACAGTTTTATCAGATTTATTCTGCATTAATACACAAGGTGCCGTTAATTGTCTCACTCTGGAGAGAGCAATGTATGTTCTTTGCTTTTGCTTCCTTCTTTTCCTGTCAACTTCTCAAATCTTCCCTGGGTGAAAGTAAAGGTAATGAAATGTTAGATAAAAACACTGGGGAGATTTTAGTTCCAAATACTTTTAAATAACAAAAAAGTGCTGGGATTTATTCAGAAATATGCTCTTTTGATAGAACGGCACTGACCCAGAAATACACAGGATCACTCTCTAATAAGATATTGACATTTTCAATACACACCTAAATGCCTCAGACCATTTTTTAATATTAAGAAGAAAAGGCAACATCTTTAAGATTTTATTATTAAGCTAAGCAACAGCAGAATAGAACAAACTGAAGGTCAATTTAGTTTTTTTCCAAAAGTAATCACTCTCTCCCCCTAAAAGTATATGGTGGGGGTAGTGCAAAAGAAGACAGAAAAGTAGACAGCAAAATAAGTTGAGTTGATATTTAATTAAAACCAGCTCTATCCACTGTAACAATGACCTGCAGCCAAGTAAGGCAGAAGATGTATGAATCATTCTCTTTGCCAGTGAATGAGACAGCTGATCTCTTAAACAATTATTCAAGAGAAGCAGTCAGAATTGGAGTTCTGCCTTCATTCACAAAAACAGAATCCAGCAAGAAACATGTGGCTTCAACCACAATCTTTTCTTGTCACATCCCCATTAGAAAAGTAGAGAGAATGAAAGAGAGACAGAAGAATAAACTTGAACTTTTTATATAAACACATCAATTTCATTGCTTTCTTTCAGGATACTACACAGGCCCTATCAGGGAAACAAATACAATAAATGAGATGTCAAAAAAAAAGATGGTCTCAGAATGGAAAAAAGTTTCAGGCTCCACAGGAGATGCGCAGGAAACAGAGTGAGAAAGGGAAAATGCATAAGGCAGATTAGCCAAAGCACTATTTTTACTCCTTTTCTTTTTAATCAATTCTACACAGACTGTGACATTCATTCCTTCTTAGTACTCTAGCAATCCATAAGCCAAATTGCCAAAGATTTTGAAGATCTAAGAATTCGCCTTTGAAAAGGAAAAAAAACTACACAAATTAAGAAGTACCTGTCTCACTGTTCTATACACACGAAAATATTTACCAGCTAAAATATAAATAAAGAAATGGTGCTCCTTCCAATTAATTCTCTAAAGTGAATCATATAAGAAGAATATGACATTTTGCATTTTAAGATATTAAAAAGCACACTATTTCCAAAATTATACACTTTCTGTCCAAATACTTTTTAATAGTTTTGAGATGCAAAAGTGACTAATAAAATCTCAAATCCAAAACATTTTTGTCAATACAGCCTGATCTTAACATTGTAGTCCTAGAAAGTAGACATCCAAGACCTATGAGACAGATTATTATTTCTTTGACTATACAAAGTTATTACACTATTTTATATTGAGCAGAAAAAGCTCTTAAAATCTATGTACATTTAAAGACATCATAAATATGTCTTCCAAAAGCCTAGCTTTATCTTTATTATCTTTATGACATATACAAATCTCCCATTCTCACCCCTTTAGGTTTCATTTAACAGATGCCTTCAAGTTATGTGTTAGGGATAACCCTGTAACTTTGTTTCCCCAAATATCTCGGGAACTTTTACTGTACAAAGTTTGTATTTCTCATTAATTTTTTCTACTATAATTTAGTTCTTTTTTAAGGGACACATTTAAACACTATATAAAATATGAAAGTTTTATAGAACTCTCTTGATTGTGAAGATGAGGATAACAAACTAACATCCTGATTTAAGGCACTTCAATATCATTTTCTCTCTTGATCAAAATAAAAAGGGACAATTAAATTTATTTGAAAGAGAAAAATAAAATAATGCCAGAAAAGAAACAAGAGATAAGCTGTGCCAAGAACATGGAATTTTCACAAAGTTCAATCACCAAACCTGGCCATTATTTTCACTGGCACCAGTATATTTTCAGAAAATTAGTTCTTTATCTGAATCTCTGATATGACCCAAAGGAGAAAGGGACACACACACACACACACACACACACACACACACACACATACTGTCCTTTCACTAATATATTATTCTTTCTAGATGACACTATGTTAAATCAATACTAATATAACAGAGTTTTACATCCTGTAACATTTACATTACACTTTATCCATCATTTTTAATGTTTTGAATACAAATTTAAAACATTCTTCTTTTTCAGATTATTTTTCTTTCAAACCACAAACTGTTTCCATCATAACACAGCAGGCTTTCAGCACCATCAGTCTTTTCGTTCCCTTTTTTGTTACAGAATAAACAGCGGGAGCTTCCGATAATGAAAAATACATTAAGTTCATATTTGAGCTGATTATTTGAAGTCAATTGTTAACTTCTATTTGTCAAGAGCAATTTAATGCAATATCTACAAATTCAATAGGGGAGTTCCATCATCTACTGGGCCAAAATGGCATCACCATGACACTGCATGCATGGGAATTAGCTGGTTTAGTTGAAAGTCCCATACATATTGAATAAACTTTTCTATGTATGCACAAAGGAAGTATTGGCACCTGAATAACCCAGGGTTGTTAACAGATCATAGTAATGCTTTACTAAATTAGGAAATTATTAACAGCCCTTCATTTTTTTTCAAATGTTCAGGTCCCAATGGTTTATTTGTTTTAAGCCTCAATACAGTAGCAGCAGGTTTCTACTGAAGGAAAAAAACAAGTGTTTAAGTCTGTATCTCACATAGAGAACAAGAAAGAAAGTTTGGTCAAGCACTCTGCTAGATTCTTGAGCCACTGGATGCAAACCATTTTTTAATTGACACCCTAGATTTGGCACACATATCACAGCAACCAAATTACAGCACGCTAGATTACAGCAACCAAATCTGGTTCTATTCACCACTGAATTATTTTTCCACCTTCACTACATATGTAAATGCCATTGTTTCCAATGCCACTTTTGTGAAAAGAAAATAGACTGTTTATGATTACTCATTTTAACAACATCTTCCCCAGAAGAATAGGGATACTGAAAAATATGCAGTTGAAATATCTCAACTATCATTTTTTCTCTTTTTCTTGCTCTTATTCTTTCTTGTCTAAAAACTATTTCTCTAAAATGGGGGTGGAAGAGGGAAAGAAAACAGATCCTCCAATAACTAAAAAATGATAATCCATAATGATTCTGTCAGATGCTACTGTACTATTTTTAAAAAGGAGTGGCAGAATTAAGAAAGTTAAAGTGACATTTCTGGCTACAAAGTATTATGAGAGCTAATTATTTCACAGAGTTGTAACTTTATCAGCAACCATGTGAACATAAATGTACAAAATTTAATCAAGGGGTAAGCAAAGTAGATTTACTTCAAGACCGATTTTATAATTAATCTTGTGTGGATTAGTTACTTACTACCTACAGAGCATTTCAATGTTTTTTTTCCTTTCTTGGAAAATGCAAAAATAACTATTAAGTCATATCTATGATTTGTAGTCTTAGGTTACAAAAACTTTCCCTCAACTATTACATTTCATATAAACTCAATTAGTTTTCATGTTTAGGATTTGATTCAACCAAGCTCTATGCTGGTCACTGGACACATTATTTAAATATACGTCTCTAAGGTAAGAATTTAATTTTTCATGTTTAATTGGTAATAACACAAAGCCATTTTCTGCATGCTAACTCAGAAGAGTGTCTTATTGCTTTCAGTGAAACTTATTTCTAACTGAGTACATGACTATAGCTCAAATTGTTTATATTTCCTTTTGTTTGTTCCTTTTGTTTAATCAGAACCATGATTAGCAAATGATATAAAATCCATTTTTGTTCATTCTTCCTATTCAGAAACATTTTAAACAATTATCTGATTGCACTTTTAAAAAACTGCATTTAATCAAAATTTACCAAATTAAGACATGCATTAAAATTTAAACTCAATGAATGAAATGAGCAATACTGAATGCTTAGTGCTTTGATGGTCTTCCAAGTTATCAAGACAAGCTGAAAGTTCAGCATATGTATAGATCTTTACTAGAGTTACTTTACACAACTATTGCTGAATTTTAGCTAAGATCTTCAATATTAATATTGAGGCTTACCACCTATTACACCATATTTAATATTTTTGCTAAAAAAATAATGTATTACTGTACATAAAAGCATGCCAAAAAAGATAAATTAATGAGAATTACATACTATTTGGCAAATTATATCAGGTAGTATCTAAAAGGTAGGCAGCCTATATGTACCGTTACAATACTTCTCTTTTCTCTGTTAAGCAACTGCATCAAATTATCCCTTTCCTTTCCAAAAGAAATAGGATGTTCATTCAACAAACAATGCACATTCAGTAAGAGTTAAAAAAAATTAAAACCTAAATGAATACTAAAAATGCATAAACAAGCAAGAGCACACATAGACAGAGGTATATCACCTAATTCTGAATGAGGTTTAATTAAATTTTCTGCTTCTCGGTTTTATACACACACACACACACACACACACACACACACACACACTGTATACATATTTTTTTAAAAAGAAAAGAATTTGAATTGAGTTATTTTCATGCTGAAAAAAGCCCAAACATGTCAGGAGCATCAACTTTTTTAGTTAGAAAATATAACTCAGTGAAGATCAACTTCCTAAGCTTTTGCAAAACTTATCTCGGCATTTCATCTTAATCAAAATCCATAGTAATTTAACTCCAGCATTAAAACTATTTCATTATAATCTGTCAACTATGTTAAAATAATCTATCTCAGATTTATGGAAATGCAAGGGGGTATGAGAGGAAGAAAAAGAAAAGAAAATAAAGTTTCTCCTTTTAAATGCCTTGCAAAATAAATATCTATAAATTTGAAATAATGGTAATAGAAATCCATCGTTTCTTAAGTAGCCAATACACACCTAACGTTCGGTGTTGCGAGCAAGCAGGGAAGAAGACACTTTCACTTAAATCTTGAAGCATCCCGTCCTGATGAACTCAGAGAAACTATATTCTGCCATCAGAAAAGTACTTCCTCCAGAACACTAAACAATTGTATGCTCTGCTCTGAAGGAAAGAGCGAGCCCAGTTCTGGCTGTAGGCAGTCTCCTGAGGTACAATAATATAAACCTGATCAATTGCAATTAAAATCTGAACAGAGGCTTGGAACGTGAAGTCTTGGTGCATTAGTTCTTGCCAAAAGCAGATGTGATTGTGGGCTGGAAGCAATTTCTCCTGGTAATTTGTGATGACATTGGATAGAGCAGCCCCAGAGTCCCCAAAGACAAACTCATCAGAGGCTCTAATGTATGCATGACACATGAGGTGGCTCTTTTAGAGCTCAATTAATTGGGCTGAACATTAAGACAGCAAGTTCAGGACTTTTTCCCCCCTCCCTTTCCCCCTCCCTTTTTCTTCCAGAGTGCTCCCCCCCCCTTTCCTTTCTTTCTTTATTTTGGGTAGAAAACATTTTTCCCTCCTTACCTTCTGCAAGCCATGTTTCCTGTAATTGGCTTAGATCTTGAAACAGTTCTAAGAAAAGAATAAGATATATATATTTTTTTAAAATGCAAGCAGCTCTGTAATGTTCAAATAATATTAAATTAAGCAAAGATCTTTGTAATTTATTATATTTCGTCTAATTTTGTGTATATGCAAATGTTAGTTTCTGCATAAAATATATCTGGTAAAAAAACACAATCAAATCCAGTAATAATAAAATACATGTATCTATTGAGAGAACCCATAAAAATCAATTGACCTGATTTCTGAATGACCAAGACTACTTAAAGAGAAATTCCTTGAACTTCTTTATGCATACCCACTCAAAGACAATTTTATTGATTTTAGTGGAGCTTACTCCAAAATAACTGCATCAGGCTATAACCTAACATTTTTTAAAGGAGTACTCAATAATGAAATGCAGTTTTGCTCATATGCTTGGTATAAATTATACAATGATAGAAATAAAATCCAGACAAGTTGCCATTGCAAAGTAAGGTTTTTACTTAAATTACTTTGGGAAGGAGGAGTTTGCTAGTTAATGTATTTAGTTAATAAATTACAAATATAACCAATATGGAAATCTGAATTGGTAATTTAGTCAAATCAGTTCTCTGCAGGACAAATGCATGAATTCATGAAGCTCTTGTTTAGTTTTGTTGCTATTAATCATTATTTCCACATTAGCAGATAACTTTTTATACAGCATTTTTAGAAGAGTGCATGGGCTTTCAAAATTATTTCAGATCATTCTCTGGGAAATCTTTAAAAAGCTACCAATCCAAGTTGGTAGAGTAGTCTTATTATAATGCAGATGGATAAGAGTGAATTTCTCTAATCTGAACCCAGTCTAAGAAAGGACATTGGTGCTTTTCCTAGTTTAAGGGAAGCAAGTGAGGACTATTTTGCCCCCAGTAAGCCATGAGTTGCTGTTTGAAGCAACTAGCTATCAAGGCAGCACTGTTGCAAACACTTGTTTCCCTTCAACAGCATTTCCACAAACTTACTAAGTGTTAGATTCACAGGGTGTGATGTTAAAAAGTGTAATGAACCATTTTCTTCTGAGTGGTTCATAGTTGGTTACTATAGGAGTTACAAACCAAAGGGTAGAAATGGAAAAAGTAGGCAGATAGAACTCTGGATCTTGTCCTATTTCGCCTCTTAGTGATTAAAGCAAAACTTTAGCATCTCTCTGAAACACACCAGTATGCACTCCCAAAGGAAATGATAATGGGGAGGAAGTGTGCAGAGGTCTACAGGTGAGCAAATTGTGTGTGCCCTTTTACTACCTATCGATTCTTGCCAAATTTTCACCTCCAGATATATGGACTTACTTACATCCCTACCATGTGGCAATACCTAACACAGAGGGTGAGTCACTGAAGGTACATCAGCCTAGCGGTGAATTGCTTTTGTCAGCTTGTGTCACATCATGAGATGTGGTTTTCTTGTCTCATTTCTATAAATAGATGTAGACAAAACTCCAGGAAGATGCATGAAGGAGGAAAAAGGGAGAAAAGGAGAGAAATGCGCAGACATCAACATTTAAAAAGCATATTACAGGGTATGTAGTTATAAGAGGGGGAGCCAGTAACATTTATTCTCCCCCCCCTCCTTGCGTAACACATATCCTCACCTTCTGAGTCATGAGCCAGATCTCTGTTAATGAATTTTCTTTTCCTGACATTTGCTGGTCGCTCATTACAATTTCTCCCACAGAGATTCTACAAATAGAATAGAATGGTTATTTTAAAAGGAAAAAGGGGAAGAAGTTAGATATCAAGCAATATTAGCAGTAGGTTTTAAATGTTAAGGCTAAGGAGAAAGCTTAAAGCTTCCCTACTGATCTTATCACTAATTTCAAACTAAAATTACTAGAATTATGCAAAGGAATATTTAGGTTCAACCCACCTACTGAAAACACATGTCCATATAGACACCTATATAGAAAGGCAGGGCTGTAGGTGTTAAGTATTAATTTTGGCAATCTAAAGTTCTAACACCTACCAAGGGTATTTCTTTAAAAGCCAACTTTTGATTGATTCTGGTTGGACATTATTCTTTAATTTTTAACTTTTTATTTGTCAAAGTCCTTTAAAAGGAAAAAAACTTTTTTTCTTTTAGGAGACTTCTCTCTATTTAAGAAGACAAAGAAGACAAAACACTTCTAAAACTGCAACAATTATGATTTCTTTCGTCTTATAATACTGAGGGGTAAAAGTGCTTTTGTTTTTCCTCAAAAGAAATGGTATGTGGGGGGAAAAAGGAAATTTATTGAATTAAATGTACATCTCATTACAAAGTATAAATTTTCCTCCCTTCACTTCAGTCCAAAAATAAAACAACAAAAAAACCCAGAACAATTTTCCACATTAAAACCTTTTGCCTTCTCCCCTTTTAACTACAAATTGCACCCTCCCGCCGAGAGACCCAACAACTTAGGAGCTGATCACTCACATTGGTGACCATGTAAGGCACTTGCTGGTCATAAAATCCATCCATTCTGATGACTTTATCGTAGTATTTTTATTATTTTCTGGACATTGGATTTAAAAGAGAGTTCCTCCAGATGCAGCCTTCAAAGAGCCTTAAAAAAACCGAGAACACAAGATGGCTTTTAGATATTTTTGTTTAAAATCATGAATGAACTGCTTGAATTTGCATATCTAATGATCCTCCGAGAGTGCCATTCATAAAAACACACGCATCCCTCCTTCTCTGCTGCCTTCCTCTTGGTTACAAGCAAGAGCCGGAGAGGATAGCAAGAGGATGGAAAGGACTTCGGGGGGAAAAAACAAGAAATCAAATCGCGAGCCAAGCTGGCATGCCCGCTTTGGTCCCTGGAGCGATCCCATTTGTAAACGTGTGCAGAACTAGTAATGGCGCACAACACAACTCGCGTTACACCTAACGGGAGAGAGGACAGAAAAAGAGAGCGAGAAAGAGAGAGAAAGAGAAGGCAGAGCTACCTTCTCTTTGCAAATCACAACCACGTAATCGCCGGAGCAACAGACAACAAAGTTGCTGTTAAAAACCCACCTGAAAGTACGGCAAAGACGATCGGATGCGCGCGCGCACATACGCGCACCAAAACAAAAAGTCCCTACAAATATAATAAGAACATTAATTATTTCTCCCAGCACTTCTCCTTTCAAGCGAAAAGCGCCACTGACAGGACTCTACATTCAGTGGTTTTTCCTCTACTTCTCCTCCAGGGGCCTCTAGTCTAAACCGAGGGATCTCCGTAGCCCATTGGCTAACCGCGTCTTTAACAGGATCAGATTTCTGACTGGCAGTCAAACTCCCCCCCCCCCCCCCCCCACTCCCGAGGAAAAAGGGAAAAGCCGGATCCTCCCGGATTCTGAAGGGGATTCGAGGGACCGTTGTTTTTTCCTAATTTTACCTCTCTGTGTCTGTCTGTCTTTCCCCCACCCCAAGCGCACGCAGCTGTTATACAAAGATTTGGACCGGTGCGAGATTCTCAGTTTAACAGCGCCTCTGTCACATAGATGCGGTGCCCACGACTTAATATTTCCGTTTATGTAATTTGAAGAAATCCCCCCCCACACCGTATGCCAGTAAAGGGGACCCAGTCAATGTATTTCATTTGATGTGACTTTTTTTCCACAAAACGCTGTTCTCCAATCACAGCCTACCTTCAGAAAAATTCAGCTATGATTTTCCATTGCTTTAGAATTCACATACATAACTTATTTCAAGGATTAGATCAAATATTGAAAACCCTATCAGTTCCCTACAATTCCCAATTTCATCCAAAAACTTCATTACCTATCCACCCCATACACAGACTAAAGTGATGCTACTGGGCATTGATTTCTTTTATTGATGAATGAATCTTATTGTAAAAGCATGAATACCCAGACTTTAAATTTAGTGAATAAAATGGTGATTTGGTAATTTGATTAGAATATAAAAAACTTTTCCTGAGCCAAGTTTTTGGAATCACATTTCAGGAGCATGTATTTTACAGTTTTCTAGAAGAAATATGTTATCTCAGTCAAATTAATAGAGGGACACAGGTGGAGTACAATTCACTGAATACATAAAAAACAATTGGATTCACAAGAACATTCTCACCTAACAGCTCATGACAAAATCATTTCAACTGTTACATAAAGCTTTTCTCCTGCACTTTTGAGAACTACAAACTTTAATAATTGTTGAGCTTGTTTACATTAAGCTTTCCAATTCAAAGCTTTCTTTTTTATTTTTTTTGAACTATCATCTGCTCCTTTGAAAGCTGTCCGTCTTTGCCCACATGTACGTATACTACCAACTGGCACCTCAGCAAAGGAAAGAGATAGTTTACTTACATACCCACAGAGGAAATCAGGGCCCCATTCTGAAGCCTCCAAAAGGGCTTCCCAAAGATCAGACTGCTTTAATGTTCCAAAGGGAGGTGCTTCATTCTCTCAAGGATGCTTTAATAAGTACCAGGTGCAAATGTTTTGCATTGCTCTACTAGATAAATATCAGAAATGTACTGTGTGCCAAAAACCACATTCTCTAGTCTAGACCATTCTCGAATACACCTCATCTGTCTGGAACCTGCACTGCATATAGGACATTAATACAATTGAACAAGTCCAGAGATATTCCACGAGAAGAGTCCTCCACTCCTCTGCTTGCAACAGAGTACCTTATGAAATTTTGGGCTTAGACAACTTAGAACTACGCCGCCTTCGTTCTGACCTAAGCATAGTTCATAAAATTATTTGCTACAATGTCCTACCTGTCAATGACTACTTCAGCTTCAACCACAACAATACACAAGCACACAATAGATACAAACTTAAGGTAAACCACTCCAAGCTTGATTGCAGAAAATACAACTTCAGGAACAGAGTGGTAAATGTCTGTAATGCACTACCTGACTCTGTGGTTTCTTCCATAAACCCCCAAACCTTTAACTTTAGACTGTCTACTGTTGACTTCACCCCATTCCTAAGAGGTCTGTAAGGGGCATGCATAAGTGCACAAAAGTGCCTACCATCCCTGTCCTAATGTCCCCATTCATTTGTATTGATTTCATGTATTCATAATCATGTTTATACTTAAATCTATTATCTTATACATGCTTGCAAATAAATAAATAAAATAAAAATAAAAAGAGTTCTTATTTCTGATTGAAGCACTTTAACAAAGAGGAATGTCTCCTTGAGTTTAAGCAGTGGAATGGAGATGCTGCTGTATTTCATTTTGCTTAAAGCAAGATGTTGGTGATTAAAGTTTTAGCCCATCTTCATATTTGATTATTTCAAGGTGGTGTACATACTTTATACTACTGCACCTTCAGTTTTCCCCACAATAACAGTTTTGTGAAGTGGTTTGTGCTCAGAGAAAGTGACTGGCCCTAATATACACACAAGCAAGCATGACTAAGACAGGCCAAAATCTCTGTTTCCTAGTTTTTAGCCAGCACATTAACAGCAGGGGTAGGCTGTTTCGGGTTCGCCCTGGTTTGGGAGAATCTGCAGCTAATGTTATGGCCAGTTCAGAGAACCTCCAAATCCCATCCCTGGCTGGCCCATTTTGGATGTAAGATCAGTGCAGGGCTTATGCAGAAGCTTGGGGAGGGGAAAAAGTGAGCCTCCTGGAAGTTTTGGAAACAAGATTTCCAGCCTCTGGATGGCCTCTGGAGCCCGGAGGAGGCAGTTTTCATCCTCCCAAAGGCTTGACCAAAGCTCCATAGCCTGGGGAAGGCAAAAACAGCTGACTGCTGGGGTGCAGGAGGCTGACTAGGTCATGCCCACCATGGTGACACTCACCCAACACTCGGCAGAAAACAGTTGCTGAAATTTTTGAAGTCTGCCTCTGATTAACAGTGCACCAAACTAGTTCTATGATGGCTAATAAAGCACATCAACCATACAATAGTGCTTTGAATGGAATGATCTGTGATACAAGTCATCTCAAGAATGTCTGAGACAGCATGGTCACAGCATGTAGGCTGTGTTTTGAGTGCCTTCCTGAAGCAGGGACCATTTCACATGCCCTATGTATAGATGCATGTATATATGTATGGGGGGAAGAGTGAAAAGATTGCTATGATCTCAGCGCACAAATAGAATTAGAATTTCTATGATGATTTAATGATGATTATGGTGTCACTTACCCTCCTCTCCAGATGCTGATAGGTATATCTTCCATTGTTATTAATTATAGTTAAAGGAGCTAACAGGTTGGTTAAAAACACTATTAATAAAAGTCAACTTAATTTATTTTTTCATACTTGTAGTACTGAAAGCAGCAAAACAAGAAAAAAAGGATTGCAAATTTAAATGAAACAAACTCTGCTAATGAGAGGGAAACAGCAGTTAAAATAATTGATACAATTCAGAAGACCTGGCTGAAGAACAAGTCGTATATTAAGGCAGTGTTTCTCAAATGCTCCAACTTTAAGATGTGTGGACTTCTACTCTCAGAATTCCCCAGTCAGCATGATCTAACACTCTTTCAAAAGGATATCAAATCTGTATTTACATTGAGCCTGGTAAGACTTGATGAGAAGTCTTCAGAAGGCATAAGTTAAGGCAGGGCTGTCAAATCCTCGGCCCATGAGCCAGATGATTCATGTGCTGGCCCTGCCCACTTTAGTGAAGGGGGAAAATATCCCAATACATCACATGATACCGCCATGACAATGTGAGTTTGATACCCCTGAGTTAAGGCATTCAACATTCCTGTAGAGAATGTTTCTCAACTCCAGCAACTTAAAGATGCATGGACTTCAACTCCCAGATTTCCCCAGCCAGCAGGACTGAAAGAAATGACCCACTGCTATTCTCAAAACTGAATACACAATACATGGCAGCAATACTCATTAAAAGAGGTTAACATTAACGTTAATTTGTAATACAAATTAAAACACAAAATGTTAAAGTTCACTAGAAAATAGTAAAAATAAGAGATAAAACCAAAATGATACTATTCAAAAAGAAAAAAAATACAACAGTTAAAATTCAAATCCAGTAAAAATTTCTAAAAGGAAGGTAAATTTAACTTATGGCTAAACTTTTTGAAAAGAAATAGTTGTAAAAATATTCTGCTTTCTTAACATATAACATGGAAAATAATAAGCAGAAAGACCAGAAAGACTTGGAAGATGGGAAATATGTGGGATCAAATTTTATGTATAACTACTTCAGAGTATAGGTAGACCTTGCTTACTGACCATTCATTCATCAACCATTCAAAATTATAAAGGTGCTGATGGCCCATTGACAACTTTCACAGTAACACTCAGTCATGTGTATAGACAGTATGCTTTTCGTAAGGTGTTTCTGTGTTTTTTCCCTTCTCTCCCCACTTCTCCCCACTAAGAGCCAAGGTGGCGCAGTGGTTAAATGCAGCACTGCAGGCTACTGCTAGATCAGCAGGTCAGCGGTTCAAATCTCACCGGCTCAGGGTTGACTCAGCCTTCCATCCTTCCGAGGTGGGTAAAATGAGGACCCAGATTGTTGGGGGCAATATGCTGACTCTCTGTAAACCGCTTAGAGAGGCCTGAAAGGCCTATGAAGCGGTATATAAGTCTACTGCTATTGCTATATTCTCTTCACCTTAATGGGATGATTGCTCTTCTATACCCTAAAAGCAATAGAAGTGTGCTGGCAGTCTCCTCTTCCATCCCCCAGCTTGAGAGCCAAAGGTATGCTATGCAACCAGCTTACAGTATTCTGTTGAAATAACTTCCTTTTTAATCTGTCCACTCTTTGAGATAGAAAAAAGTCAAGGTTTTTGTAGAGCTCTCCTTTGTCTGACCTTCCCACCTCCCATGTAGAGCAGAGAGATTGGGTAAATGGGATTTCAAAAGAATAAACTGTTTGTGTAGCACACCTATGGCTCCCAATTCTGGTCTGGGATGTGATCACATTGCTTTTAGTGTTTACAAGACAGTAAGCAGGCACTCCAGCATTCCAAAGGGTGGGAAGTGGCTAGGAAGCAAACAAAAGTAGAAGGTAGGAAACTGACTAATTTCTTTCCAGCCTACAGGTATAGTCATAGTTACATGATTTCTAACATAAATTGGTTAACTATTGTTTCATTTAGTATCAAAGTTGTGAGGTCCAATCAGCATCATTAAGTAAGGATTACCAGTAAACTCTGTTGATGCTGATTCTTGATTCTATGAGTGGTTTTACACTTTACACCAAGCACTATTTCCAATTAC